GTCCCTTCCTTTTGTGGTAGATCGTTCACCAAGTTTGAGGCCACACTTGTAAAATACCTATTAAAATTATTTGCAACAATTGCTTTGTCAAAACATACATTTTCTCCAATTTTTAGCCCTACCCCACCCAAATTACTGGTTCCCTTATTTTTCATCCCCATACTCTTTAAAGTCTGCCATAATTTTTTAGAGTCATTTTTGTGGTCCTCAACCTGTTCTGTATAGTAATTAGCCTTTGCTTGCTTAATTTTATTTTGAACTTTGTTTCTAAGCAATTTAAAATTCTTGTATGTAATTTCATCTTTACTCCTCTTATGAAGCAGTAATTTTCTATTTCTTTCCAGCATAATTGCTCCCTAATCTCACTATCAAACCATGGCTCAGTTCTTTGTTTTATTCTAACTTGTTTAATAGGGGCGACAGAGTCAATGGCCTCTAAAAGGTATTTTTTTTTTATTTGCCATGCATGCTCTATAGAATCCGCGTAAAAATTTTTTATACCATTGCTTCTCTTTTAACTTATCTCTAAATACCTCTCGACTATATGTTCTTAATGATCTAATTCTCCTAGTTTTATGCTTACCTATAACCTGTCTTGAAGTTTTCCTAGTACAGTAAGTTAAAAAATGATCACTCACTCCCTTGGCTATGATGCCCGATTGACTAATTTTGAGTGCATCAGAAACCATTATTAAATCGATGGCGGACTCACTTATATTAGTTACTCTAGTCGGAGTAGTGATTAGTTGTTTGAGATCATATTGGTAGCAGTAATCTTTAAGAGCTTATGTAGTTAGCCAAATTTAATTCATCACTGACTAATAAGACCAATCTTGTAATTTTTATCGGTTTAGAGAAGTTATCACAGATGCCAAAAGATCAGTACCATATGCATGCAAGGCCAGGGTAAACACAAACAATCCCACATGCAACAGTTAGTGATGAAATAATATATACAGTTACATCTGTACAAACGAGCTAAAAGTAGCTGAAACAGGAAAAGAAGAGTGATGCTAAGGGTCACATATCAGCTAAGAAACTACAGTTTTTCCTTACCACTTAGTGATCGATGTCTGAAAGTCAAACTTGTCAAGATCAATGAGAACCTGAAAGAGAAGAAATCTTCCACATCACCAACTTTGGATACAATAGTAACTATATATAAAATAATATATAAACTTGCACCACTTTATAATGCATAGAAAAACATTTAACCAACTCGTAAAAATACAAGAATCCATTGAACATATCTATGCTGACACGACCTTGTACAATTGTAATTATTAGGCAGTTTCAGGCATTATCAGGCATAATAAAAAATTTATTTTAGGCAGACGATGACTTGCAAGTAAGAAACACTACGGCCACATTACACCAGCACAGTATAATATGTAGCACGCCATTTCATCGCTGCAACATGACATCGCCTCGACATGCGCTGCGTCTCGCCTACTTACCTGACCGATTATGTTGCGACCACGAGCAAACATTCCAACCTGGTTCTTCACAGTGATATCCAGCGTCTTGTGTTTCAGCTCATCAATTGTTCCGGGATACTCGAGGCTACAGCAGTTTATACGTACATGTTAGTTAAAAAATAACACATGCAATATGCACACAAAATACCTAAACACCTACAAGATATAAATGATGTATGTGTTGTCTGTGTAAGTGGATTATGTAGAAAAATGTTGATTAAACACCGTTTTATGAGAACAATTTTATCCACACACGGATGAATACGTTGAAGTGATCTACGCTTGAATGTATAGGTATAACCAGTTCAACACTTAGTGTGGGGGAAAAACGAAGAAAAATAACAAGTGTTTTTCTATCCTTTTCCCGATTTATAGACATTGTCTCGTATGTACAGATCATGAATGAGAGAAGTAAAATAGTAAACAAAGCAATAATAGGTCATTACACAAAAACGAAGTCAGTAACGATGACACTTAATCAGGAGGCACCAGTTCCTACGTTTACAGCACACTTTCAGCAACTACACGTCAATGTGCTGCCACCTGGTGTGGAAAACTATACTTACGTCTCATCATACACTGGGTTGAGTGTGTTCTTTATCACTTGGGTTTTGCGTTTGCTGCTAGAGGTCTTGTCTGGCAGCAAATACACCCTCACGTATGGATCTGCCAAATCGTCATCGTCACATGCAAGCAGATCACTGTGAATTGAAAAAAAGTTGGTATACTGTCACGTTTCTTGAACCAATGTGGATGAGTGTTCACATTCAATGCACCAAACGCTTGCCTGAATCAGATAAAACATTAATGGCGAATGAACATAATAAACTACTGAAAGCACAGCATAATATTATTAATATTAGTAAAGCTAAATGATGTGAATTAGTAGCAGAATGGCTCAAGTGTATATCTGTCCTGCTCCTGTACTTCATGTATTTACTGAAAAGTTTACGGGTTCATAGGTTTACTGTAAAGATTAGTGACAGAGGTAAGGATACAGCACAAACTAAACCAAAACCAAACTCAGCCGAGGGCAACTAACCCGAGGAAAGCACTGAGTTTCATACCTGCACTTCTGCACCAGTATGATGAATCGCTTACGCTCCTTGCTATAACTCAGGGTGAGCTGAATCTGTCCCAAATGCTCATCCTTTCCTTTCTGATCAGCAACTCTGCAAACGTGAAAACAGCAATCAGTAACTTGCACACGCGAGCGGCTGTCGCAAGAATTTAGACTGACGTCGACATTCATATAGGCGAGAACTCGACATTACACTTCCAAGTGACTTTATTTGGTTTCTATGTCATACTATACTGATTACGCCTTTCATTTGACTCTATCTCCTATAAATACTTATTCTAACTTACTTGCCTTGTTGCTGCCTTGATAACATTCATTCCAATAAAATTACCAAGTACGTAAGTAGATAAGGATCAGTACTATGTACTAGACAGGTATAAAGGCGGTCTTATGTCGGGCTTGCGTGCCGACTCGACTGGAAGCAACTGGCTGCAATTCACTGCGACTGCAGTGCTTAGGTCGATCAACTGCGACGCGACTGCCTGCGACTGGCCGCCACTAGTTGCTCGGAATAGAACAGTGGGCAACTGGACGCAACTAGTCGCTGCCAATCGCTTCCAGTTGCTCGAAATCCAATTGCTTCCAGTCGAGTCGGCTCGCAAGCCCGACAAAAGCCCCCCTTAAGTAAGCAATCTGCGTGCCAGCATACCCGTCCGCATTCCTCTGACGCACAGACTCCATGGTAGATGTTGGTGACATCTCTGGTTTCCATGCAGGTGTAGCCGCTACTATTGGTTCTTCAACAACCTTCACCATTTCTTCTGATTGAAAACAGACAGAGAGAGCCTACATACATGGCAAGTATCTGACGGGTTTCATTCTGCATGAGTAGGATGAAGGTAGTGACCCGAAATGAATGAAAAATAAATGAAGTCACAGAGTTTATGTAAGGTATTTTAAATTATAAATATATTTTAAGATTAGATATGTATATCCCATGTATTTAGTCCAGCATATGTTAGAGTGAAGCCGGTGCAGGCTGATGCTTTGTGATTTTTCCACACTCCCACAACTTCTCCCTAACATATAATATTTCAATGTTATTCAACAGCTATAGACTATACACAGCAACAGCTATGTAATCTATTCCTACCCGCCAAAGTATACTTCTCCCTTTTGTGGTGTAGCTTATTTCTAACTTTGTAAATGGTACCTTATACAACGGTATCAAGCTGCAAGAGTAACCTTGACCAACATGTAGGTATAATAACCTTCCTATAGCTGTAGGTGTGACTATCAACTATACATGTATATTCTACCGGTACGTGTAACAAATGATTGTCTTCTTGGTGTATAATCGACCTGTAGGTATATATTACCTTCCTGTGGGTGTATAATCTACCTGTAGGTATATACATTACCTTCCTGTGGGTGTATAATCTACTTGTAGGTATATATATTACCTTCCTGTGAGTGTATAATCTACCTGGAGGTATATATATTACCTTCCTGTGGGTGTATAATCTACCTGTAGGTATATATATATATCCTACAAGTAGATTATACACCCACAGGAAGGTATATATTACCTTCCCGTGGGTGTATAATCT